TTTGTAAACTTCATTTTAAGTATTTCATAACTTCTGCAGTCTAGCACAAAGCTTACCAAGCATTAGCAACTCTAATATTAAAGAGCAAGATTATCTCATCTCCTAACTCTTTAGAGAAGTGTACAGACAAGCTGAGCAACCCAATACCAGATGCTTGTTCTATTTAAGTCTGATGTAGCTTTATCTTTGTTAGGTCTACATAGGCTTAGAACACCTCAGTCCACTACATTAAATGACTCCTCATGGCAACAGGAGCATGTGTACAAAAACACTGAAATACTAGGAATAGTCTTCAGCATCCAACACTCGGATATTTGCAGCTGCTCTGATCCTATATTCACCAGCTATTTATTGCTGGTAACGCACATTGACTAGAGAACTATTCCCCTTCCTTTAGCAGGCAAGACTTGAAAGACAAAATTAAGGTGGGGCAAACTTTGAGTGCTCACTTTCTTTAGAACAGAACCCTACATGGCTGTGCCTCCCTGAGTACAAATCCAGGGCATTCAATGGAACACTGAACCAAAGGGAAGCCTGCTGGTCCTACTGCCTTTAATAACCCCATCAGTATTTTAATTTCCTCCTGGTGATATTTTCCTATCTTTGCAAGAGACTCCTGCATGTTTGTCCCAGAATTCAGAATTGTTTTTCTTTCTTAAACGAAACAATTCCCTCTGAAGCTGCATTTTGCAGCTGAGACAGCACATTGTTTTAAAGCAATAGTATGTCATAAAAACAGGTGCCAGAAAGAAATCTCCTGCACAAGTCTTCCCCTGTATTAGCTGCAGTGTGCATCCAGTTATCTTAATCCTTCTCTGTGAAGGCATTTAAGACTGATTGCTGAAATATTTAACTGAATTATTTATGATTTCACCTGCTGTTATAGCTTCCATTTGCCACCATTAATGTCTGAGATATGCAACACAAGACTATAGGTTTTGCCTTATATTTTTTCTGTGTGTTTACATGTCTACCTAGACATAGAAGCTGTGCAGCTGGTAGCAGTGAAAGCAAAAACACATTTGCCCTTTAGCAATTGACTCAAACATGAACAGCAAACAAATCTCTGCATTTATTATTTCCAGACTCTGTTCAGTGCCAAAGTCTGGCTCCATGTTGGTTGGTTCTTTTTTGGTGGGTATTTTCTGTTGTTGTTGTTGTTTAAATTAATGCTACTTGATTCAAAGGGAAGAGATTAATATATTTATGGTTTTAAAAATATTAAGTCTTCGGTACTCTAACTTCCACTGCATTAAATTCATATACATCGTAATTTAATGTTCTGTTACTTATTACATTTCTAAAGTTTGAAATACTAAAATCTACTTTTGAAAAGTATTTGTGTTCAATTATTGACAATAGTTACATTTGAAGGGTTGAAAAAAGTGGCTTTTTCAATAAAAGCATGTTTAACCACTCATTTCTATGGTGTAACAACACATAATTTGTTTTGCTGAAAGCCTGAATTGTGCCTCAGAGCCTGTGGGGTACCCCAGTGGTGGCAGAAGAGCAGAAAAGCAAACAATCCTTTTTAGATCCGTCCCAATTTCTCTGAGACTGAAGATGAGGTGGTTGTTTACACCAACTCCTCCACTACCTGTTGTGTAACCAAAGAGCAGACTCTGCTCACCAGGTTTGTCCAACTGCTGCCAGAGGAGGTTTCTGTGGGAGTTTGTGTTTCCTTCCAGGTCCATCAGTGCCTGCTGCAGCAGCATATGGGCAATTAATCACACACACCCTGGCTGCACCATGGACTCTACACACACACACAGATATGTGTATATATGTATGTATATTGCTCCTGATGAACACAAAATATTGAACAGTGCTGCTTATTCTCAGAACAGAGATGATTTACCAACTATTTAAAGGTGATGCCTTCCGGCACTAGGAGATGCCGAAGTCCAGTGCTCAGGTACCTCAGGGGAGACTTCAGTTCCTGACCTGCCTTTTGAAGCTTTTTTTTCATTAGGGGTTTTCTGGATTTTTTAAAATGCAGATGACTAAAATTAACTGCTAAAAAGGTATTTGTGTTATATTTTGTACCTTCAAAGAATGTATAAAATATTTTCCTTCTCTTACAGCTAAAGCAATTGTTTTGAAGTTCTCATATTTTCATTTTTTTCCACCCAGGAGCACAAATAACTTCTACCTAAACTCTTCCAAAAAGTCACAGCGCAGAGCTAAGAAATTCTGAGAGCTCTGGGTGGAATAAAGCACTTTAATACTCTCAGCTGTAAATATTGACTAGGATTAGTTTTTAAATAGTATTACTTATGGCATTTATTTTGTTCCTAACAGCTATTATTACTTTGGAGAGCTATGCTGCCACTTTTAATGACAGAAAACCTCATCCCTCATGCATGGGCTTGGAGTCAGTTTTACCCTTGTGCAGTGCAGGGTTTGCTGTGTGATTCTGTGCTCTGTAACCAAGCAGTGAATGGGGTAAGCATCCCAAACACTCACTGAAGAGGGGTGAAAAATCATTCCAACAACAATTGCATGGGGGAAAATGTAAAAGAAACATTATGGAGCTAGCAAAGAGAAGTATTCTTTTCAACAAAACTGAGTAACTGAGTAATACTTTATTTTTTTTTTAAATGAATTATTCTGGAACACACTAGCCAAACCCTTTAGCCAATGTGTCAGGTAGACTAAATAGGACAAAAATATGTGGGCATTCCCTATTTTTTCACTGTACAATCAGTGGTTCAAAGTAAAAGCTTGAAGCCATAGAAGCTGACAAGAATCTGGTGTGCTGAGGTTTTTACTGTCATGTACTTGAACTGGTTGGGAATGGAGGCTCAAAGGGGAAACAACACATTTAACATCCAGGTATTGCATCCTAACTTGGAAGATTCAGAATAGCATTTAGCAAGAAAAATCCACTTACAACTTAGTAGCAAAACATGAACTGGGGTTTCCTTTCAGAACTCTAACTTTTTGCTAAGAGCAGTTGGTTGCAACTCTTCCTACTCAGAACTCTTTTGTTGGGGTTTTTTTTCCCTCAGGAGGATGGCACATGAGCCCTAACAAAACACATTTGACTCAAACAGTCCAGTCAGTAGATTTTATTCTAAACAATTAAAGATTAATTTGAATTGCAAGGGAAAAGAAAAGGTAAGTCCTAAGCCAACACTTACCTAATGAAAGCAAGTGAAACTCAGCAGCACTGAAAAGAATACCCAACAGAGACTAAATACAGCTTCAACATATATTCATGGTCTGTCTAGAAATGTCTTTGATGTTAAACCTCATATGGCACACTTAGCATTTTTTATAATTCATTTCCTATGGAAACTAATGAGCTTAAGGGTGAAATTACCTCATTGAAAGTCAAAATGGAAGTGTGAAGAAAAGAAGGATGACCTGGAAAGCAGATTTAGAAGCAATCTTTGCATATTAAGCATTGCTGTGGGAAATAGTATAATTAGTTTTCTTCAGAACTTATTCCTTGGAATTGTGTAAGTGGTATTTCAGCTCCCAAACATCATGCAGAAGGAATGTTAGATAAAATAGGTGGAAAAAATGCAAAATCCTCTCATGTTCTTCAAATCAAGATGTTTTTTCCTAACTTTCAGTGACTGTTGACTTATTTTTAAGTGGGCAGACCATAAAAAAAGGCTCCTTTCCAGCAGACTTCTAAGGGGCCATAAGAAACCAGATTTTCAGAGCATAATTTGGAATAAGCATTCACTTCCCAAATTCCTGACTCCTTTTAGTTGAATCAACTTATTTCCCTAAGCTCCTGCTGCAGGCTAAACCATCTGCCCTACACAGTTCTACTGAAGACTGGAAATTGGTACCAAATGCATGTTGTGTTTGGTGACTGAAAGAGCTAATGATTAACCTTGGACTGTCAAATACCAAGTTATTCCTGCTAAATACAATGAAACAGTTTCAGAGTTCAAGCAGAAATTATCCTGCAGAATTTGAGTACCTGAGCCACTCCAAGGGCTCCAAGGGCTGCCAGTGGCCATACATTTGGTCCCTTCAATCCCACCAATATTTTTCTTTTTTCTTCATGCAGAAAGTGCTTGGAAGAGCTTTGGCTCTGCCAGACCTGATCTCTCAATAGCGCATTAATCCCAAAGCAGCAGCTCCCTCAAACTAAATTAGTTACAAGTCATTTGTGGACATAATGGAGTAGAAATAATTTAAATCCACTGCAAGTGCAAGGCCAGCCAAAATTACCAGTTTTAAAGGCTATCAGCTCATCTTTCTGGTGCACAGAACAACACTGTGTTTTCACTTTTACAATACTTAACCTGAGTTTGAGTTTCACTTAAATTTAGCCTGACAGCTGGGTAAAGAACAGCAACATAGATTAGCTACAACATTAAAGGGTATCCAGCTTCAAGTATGGGAATGGCAGCAGCACAAAAATCCTGGGATGCTAAACTGCAACTTGAAGCTTAACTCTGGCATCACTTTCTCCCACCTCAGATACAACAGGGCAGGCAAGTCCTCCTATTTACTCAGCAAGGCTTAAGTTCTGTGCAGAAAGAGTTGTACTGACAGTAGTCAATTGAAACCTTATAATTTACACAGTTGTAATAAAGATGAACACAGTATTACAGTAATTTCATCCAGGCTGCTGTTAAATTGGGTGGTAAAATACCTGTCACTTCAGTGTTTATGGTGTGGCAAGAAACTAAAATAGTAACTACTTTTAAAAAAAAGTAGCAAAGTTTTTAATTTGCAAGCATCTTGAAGCCCTCTTACTTCTATTTAATAATCTTTTGCTCATATGATTTATTATACATCCTGTACGGATTCTGATGATCCTTTACAGTATCATCTGACACTTTTAAGGAAGTTTGAGAATGACATAAAAACTCATGTCATTTTCAGTTACTCCAAGTTCAGGGACGGTATTTGCTTGTAAAATCTCAACATTCAAATAACTAAACACTAAAATGGATGTAGCAAGTGTTGCATACATCCATTTCTGTGGTGACAGTACATGCCACACAAGAAACACAGACAGACAACTTCAGTAGCTTTTTTTTTTCTTTTTTAATTAGTAACTTCTTAGTTCAGGAAAAAAAAATAAACCACAAAAGAGAACTGGAAGAACTAGTCTCCACCTTCTTTATAAAAGAACTTTTCTCAAACAGAGAGACTATATACCTTGTTCACCACTATGTCAAATCCTATCATAATCACCTTGGTTTCCACATCTATTCTACCACATTTCATGCTCAGCTTCCAAACATCTCTTATAAAGGAGGTGGGGATGTGCTTTAGACAGGTTAAAAATATGCTGCACCTTTAAAGTATTTAAACAATTACACCAAGCATAGTTCATACATTTATCACATTAACTATCACCTGGTAACCATACATTTAAAAAGGTCTAAGGTAGAGTATGTAATACCCATGACAGATACTCTTACTTACTTAAGAGCATATAAAGATCAGGATTTATTCACCCTCCCCATCTGCAAGCCAATTTCTGATCTCTTCCTGGTACAATATAAATGACCAAAAAAATCCCTTCATTCCATTGCACTACTACAACCCTATATGCATAGAAAGGCAGATTAATTACCTGTGACAGGGAAAAGGAAGAGGGGTTTAGAAAAACAACTTGAAGAACATCTACTGCACAGGTACTTTAGATGTTACGCACATGAGTTCTGCTGTTTGGGTTTTTTCCCCAATTTTTTTTTTTCTTATGGTCACACAATACACCCCTACACAAACATAACTCGAGTAAGTGCAAGTTACTCCTGACCAACAAAACAACTTCAGCACAAGAGGCTTGAACACCAGCACAGTGACAAGGCTGTGCTGAAAGCCCATCTGGGGTGTGGGAGTGGTGAATGAGAATGTAAAGCACATTTCTGCATATAATGTGCAAAGGCTTGATCTCCACAACTGCACTCAATTTGCTACATGCACAGCCAGAGATGAAATGAGATCAAAACCAGCTGGGAATGGTTGTCCTGAGAAGATACAATAACCATTAAAAAATCTAAACATAAAATACAAATACAGAAGCAACAGAACATTGTTAATACTAAAAGACAGAAACACACCGTTGTTGTTAAAAGAAGTTTCAAGTAATATTCCAGATCCAATTTCAATCCTACTCACAGGAGAAAATGCCCAGAGATTAGGAAGAGAAGTCCACACCAAAGTGTATTTTTAATAGCATAAGGGCATGGTCAACAGACCCATCCTTGCGACAGCTATTTTCAAAAATAAAAAAATCTAAACAGAAAGACATCATTCTAATTAGCATTCTTAGTAAGATGTGCATTACTGGAAATAGTTGCTCAATTCACTGCAACCAGTAGACACGATGTGCTGCATCATTTGTGCTCCATTATATCACAAGATACTGTGTGTACACTTTTTAACATCCAAGTATAAATTCTGCTCAGAAAATAAGGCATACTTAAAACAACATGGTCTCTACAGAGGTAACTTTGAATGATTTCTTCTCATTCTGCTCCACTCTTGTAGGTGTGATGAGAACAAAATTGGTCCCAGTTGAGGTCTGTCAACATTAGCAACCAGATTATGATCATATCAATTTGTAGGGAAGGGGGAAAGTTGGGATTTCTTTGTTTTTAATGACACTTGGGACATCTCCTGAATGAGCTCTGCAGAAGTCATGAAAATAAAATCTACATTTCTTATGTCAGTGACACCAGTGTGCCCCTTCATGATCCCTATCTCTATCCCTATCCAGAAATGCCTCCATATTGCTACAATTTGTCCAAATTCACTCATTTTCAGTAAGATTGTTCCTTCCAGTAAAGCTGCTATATTCTGTTTTAAGTTAGTTTTTTCTACATTTTCACCAGTGTATGCATGCTAGAGAACAGCTGCATTGCAGAGGTACATATTTAGCACATGGTATCAAACCAAAAAAGAAATACAAAAAAAATGAACCAGTGTGCCCTACTGGCTGCTCTATGTCAAAAGCACTGTTTGGTCTTCTGATATAAAACACTACAGAAGTAATATTAGCAGATGTCTGTTCTGCTTCAAGTGTCACCCCACCTTTAAATGTGATCTTCAAATTTTTGTGCAATTCTTTTTGTAATTTCATGTGAATAAAAACATCAACATGTCTAAACTAAGAAAGGAAACTGTACTACTCCACTGTAACACTGCACATATGGTAGAAGCTTTAAGTTGAAACAGCTGTTTATTGGATGGATTTTTTAAAAAGGAATATTAATGTAGTTTCTAGCCCAAAGGCAATGGGTAGCAACAAAATATTGGACTACCGCAAAATGCAGTTACAAATATACACTGACAATATCCTCCTTAAATATTAATGGCTCTTGAAATACCCATCAGATACTTTTACAAAACTTCTCTATTTTAAGTCTATCGATTTTTCTTAGTTTCTTCACAAGTAGTGCAAATACACTCCTTATTCTTAGGTCATCCCAAGATATGGCTGGTTTTTGTGAATGTGATTTGTTTGTGTTCTTCACTGTAGTCATGAGCATGGAATGCAATGCTTGCTGGACTACCTTGGAAAAGAAATTTACCTTATTCATGTACAGCTGTAAAATTCTACAAATTAAAAATTTCACATCAGGTTACCTGATGGAAAAGTTAATGATTCCCTGCTATGGGGGAACGGAGCAGATCCCCTGAAACCTTAAACTGTACAAGCAGTGTAACAGGCTTTTGTCCCCTCTCTACAGACTACAAGTTTTCAGTTCTTGAATCTTGTTTGCTCACAAATATGATTGAATTTCCTAAAATAAAGAAAAACATAATATTAAAATGTAACAAAGTTCTCACAAGTCAGGCAACAAAAGCAATTCAGCATTTTGCACAGGGTATTTTAAATGTTAAACAGTCTAAAGCAGACCATTTACACACTGAAATCTCTTTTTCAGAACCTCTTTAGATCATACTTTACTGTCATTTTACATGCAACAGGATTTTCAACATCTCTCCTGCCTCACCCTCCTTAGTTTTATTATGCACACAGAAAACCTGTTATTAAAAAGCATTCCTCTATACTTCTGTATGCTTCAAACCCAGAAGGCAATTAAAACAGGAATCGGTGATTTAATTTCCCCCTGCAAGGTATTAGTAACTTTTAGTAGACAGCATTACACAAGTCATTAAGAACAAGAATTAACTAGGCTAATTTTATATTTCAACATAAACACATTCTCTTAGTGGCTTAGAATCTTCTGGAAAGAAAAAGTTTTTCTCAGCCTATATTATCTAAGTTTTATAGGAATGGCAAATCTGTCTTCATGGATTAAACAGAAAACATAATTTACTACCAAGCACTACTTCCCACTTCGCAAAAACATTTCACTGTTCCTTCTTCTTCTCTTGCTGGGGCCATGTGGCCCTTCACACACTACTGAAACAGAAGATGGGGGGCTGAGTGTGTCACTACATGTGGAGGAAATGGTGCAAAGGAGATCCTGAATTTTCCCCTCAGCTGGATTAGATCAAAGATCAGAAAAACCTTGCTCACATAATTTAACTACTTAGTAGAACAATTTATCTCAATTTAAAAAATTAAAATATTATCTGGATATAAAGGAGTGGTATGACAGCACTGTTTGCTTTTATGGATTTCAAGAACTAAGTGTAGCAGCCAGTAAAGTTCTAGGAAGGACTAATGCTTGGGGAAAAAAGAGAAAGAAGGAAAAAAAGAAGGGGAAAAAAACCCCTGAGTCATTTTTATTCTAGATGAAATTATCCACAACATGAACAAAGATAACTGGTGAGTACTTTGATATTGAATTAAGTCTAACATTTCAAAACAAAATCTCCTCTGGGAACACAGACTGTCCTATAATGTGAAGTTACAGATAGCAGTGGTACTTCAAATTACATCTGCAACTGAAATCCAAAATTATTTTTGAAAGCTATTTGGTAAAACCCTTGAATTTGTAAGAGACTGCAGATGAATATTTTACAAGTCTGTCTTATGATCTGCTTGCCTGAGCTGCACAGACTGGTTATTTTCAACCCACAGTACCTGAAATATTAAAGGAATTATGCTAAGCGGGTATGTACATTGCAACATTAGAAAGATACTGCAGAATCTTCTATTCATTAAGGCAATTTCTCAATAAGGGGTAACAGCTCCTCTATCTTAAATTACACTGAGAATTTAGAGAATTATTCATAAGGCAAGAAGGATTTTTCAACCCTCCCTGAAACCAGTTAGTTCTTAGGGAGAAAATTTTTGTTTTGTTTTATGAGTCTTTAATATTTGTCTTACTACATGTGCATCTTTTTATAAGAATAAAACTGCATTGGCCTTGATATTTTAACTCAAGAAGCTTGATTTACTTTGGAAGGACATTTCTCTCCAGATACCAGCAGTCCAAGGCTGGTATTAAAACGCTTGACAAGTAGAGGGTTAATCTCTTTTCAGGCTCAGTATTTAATTTTTGAGGCATGCCAGATTCCTTGGGTCAGAGATGTAAGACTTAGAAACTCCTCAGGAACCTGCTGTGGCTTATGTTACATGCTCCAAGCTGCTCCTGTTGCTAATTATTCCCACCAATTGATTCCTTCAATGGAAGCTGCACTTCACTGAAAGAATCCTTCCACCCCAGTGGGTGGAAAAACAGCCTCAAGAAGTGGCAGCCATGGGTTACATCAACTTACAAGCGCTGGCAGTGCCCTGATGCACAGAGGGCTCATTTCAAAGTCGTGTTAAAAACAAAAATGACAAAAAATTCCCCAATGCTCACCCAACCTGCTTTATGCTGCAAGTTCTGGCACTTGAAAGGCTGCATTTAGATTGCTTTTGGTTTGGTTTTTTTAAGGAACACAAAGCAAAACCACCTTCTGAAGTGTGCAACTTACATGGCGTGGTGTGCTTTGACCTGAGTTCGACAGTTGCGTCCCCAGTAGCAATCAGGACGGGACGTGACAGTCACTGCAAGAGAGCAAAGGAAATGCTGCATTTATTACAAAAGTCATTAAAGTGACCCAGATTATTAAGCCACTGCTAATGGTTGTTACTCATCAGAAACAGCACATGATTGGCAAGAAATGACTGTAGAACTATATTGTTTCACCTTTCTGGAAACAAAGCAAACACTCTGCAAAGGATGAAAAATTAGTTTTTAATGTTAATGCGGAATTATGATGAAAGTGTTTGGTTCTTAGTGCTGTCAACTGAAGTTTTACCATTTATTTTAACAGAGATGGACTTGATTAGACACTCAGCATTTGTCTAGATGTATTTCCCCACAAAAGAAAAATTATTAATTTGGGTAGAGTTTGCTGCTTTCCCCCACCTTCACATACATTACAACTCAGCTGTCCAGCAGATGAACTGAAAACCAATGTTAAGGGCAAACCAGATACACAATTTTTGCTCATTATGTACAGCATCACAAGCAGACTCCTCAACAACTTAAGACTGGGAAGATGTTGCTAACAGCAAGAACTAAGTTGACAGAAGGAATATTTAAAAGCAAACTGTTGGAACAGCTTCTGTCCCAAACAAATTTAGGTCTGAATGAGGGACAGTTGCTTGCATGCAGTTTTGTACTAAAATTGTAAATGCAAAGATTTAGAATCAGTTTATAAAAGCATTCTAGTTCCTAGTTGAGAGCTGGTAAAGTGTTAAATTGTTCAGAAAATGCATCATTTTATGTACTTAAATGGGAAAATAAATTTTATTACAGCAATTGGTTCCTGTTGACTATATTCTGATTTGACTGAGTTCCCCTTTTCACTCTGCAGATATATTTATTCTACAGATGAGAAATGATACTGAAAGAAAAGGCTCCATTAGGGAGTCTGAAAATAACTATACACAAGCTTGCAGCTGACAAGTAAAGCAAGGAGCTAAGGCATTAGCCCTGCACCAAGATTTGCCATGGGCTACATGAAAGTACCAAAAGAACACCAATACAAAGATAAAACTCATGTTAACTCTTTAAATTACTTTTCCCCCTACTTACTGAGCAAAACAATCCCCACCTGGCAATTCAGCCACAGGAATATTCTGCCTGTACTGGTAGGCAAGTTCTCGAAAGCTGCGAAGGCCACAACAGTAGCAAAGCACTGTGTTCCCAGTGATTCTGTAATCTGGGGAGAAAACCAGTTTGTAAAAATGTAAGCATTAATAAATCAGGTTTAACTGAAGAGCCAGGACTGCACTGGTTCTGTACACAGAACTCCAAACTTCTTGATAACATTGCTGAGTTACATCCAGACAAGCAGTCATGCACGTGCAAACTGAACACAACACATACCTGACAACATAAAAACTCCTCTTTGAAGAGCTAAGAGACTTTCATTTAACATATTTTTCCATGTCAGACCCCTGGATGCCAGGTAATCCTGAAAAGAGCAATTTTAAGTGTTAAATCTAGAAAAATCTCCAATCTTAAAGAGTAAGCAAGGCATTTATTCTCAAATATTTCCAAATTTATCAGTAACTAAGTTTTCAGAATGAGTTTATGTGATGACAAGAAGTTAAATTCCTGTAACTTAATTAGCATGATACATTTAGACCACCAATAAAACCTTCCACTAAGTATCTTTTTTCAGATCTCCACTTTTGCCAAAAGTTTGCAAATAGATTCATTCCAGTCACATTCTCATTCACCTCAAATCAATATTTCATCCAGTTTACCTAATTTAGGCAACCCTGTTATAGTATGGGCAAAATATTTTCCATACAAGTTAGTGTGAAATTTAACTTGTCTGGGACAAAACATTTAATAAGCATTGCTTTCCTGGCTTGTTTTTATTGAATTATTTTTCTCTTAAACAGTATCTTGGACGATCATTTGGAGATCATTTAATCAGCTTTTAGAATCAGGTTCTGCAAGTGACACAGTGCTGCCACTGTCAGTGTCAGGCAGCACATGAATTCTATTTCATCAGTGAGTACATCTTAAACTTTGTACATTTGTTATTATCACACACAATGATTTTTAAACATACCTTTAGGATATCTGATTCATAGTGGTTGTTATTCAGGACGCCATCTAAACACTTATCACCAAGATTTATTTCTAATCAGAACAAGAAGAAAAAAAGTTACTATTTCTTGCCCAAACCCTGTGGCCCTCACACATTTTCTGAAGGTTCATCTGTTTCCTGAAATAACATGCACAGGCTCATGTGAGCACCAAGTACATGACTGCATTCAACATGTGCTAATGCATGTGATTTTTAACTTCTAGTGGCACAGACAAGATACTGAGAGTTTAAAATTTCAGCTTCAATCCACAAACACTACCAAGCTGCACAAATCACCAGTGCTAATAAAGCATATTCTATTAGCTCCAAACTGCAGCCAAGCCATTCCAACTGTTCTAATTTACTTTTTTAAATGTCAAAAAACCTTGAGTTTCAGAAGTCTGCATATTTAAGAGGGCAAGATTCTTTTCTAATCTGATATCATCAGATGTTCAGTGCTTTTGCACTGATCTGTATGATTCTCTTACTAGACTGAAATACACCATGGTTTTTTATAGTGGAAAGAATTGTGCTCAGCAAGTGCAGTTTCTAACCCCAATATTGTACGAAGGCACAAAGTTAAATCTGTCAAAGTTAAGACACATGCCCCTTCAATTTTGTGTGTTTGTGATGTGAGGACACAGGCCTTGCTTCTTTTTGCATGACTGTGCTACAAACTGATCTGTCTCTTAAGTGACTTAAAGTTCAAGACAGGCAGACATTATTGCAAAGTGAACAGGCTGATAAGCAAAAAAATGACTCCACAGTACCACAGAATGGTGCCAAGCAGCCAAAACACGCCATGCGAGTGCAGCCCCAGTACAAGTGACAGAAGGGCTGCAGACAAACTGTGCCTGTAAAATAGCAAAGAAAACCCTTGTAAGGACCTGAACACAACAAAACTCAATGGTTACCATTCTCATAAATCAGCAACAACAGAGCCCTAATAAACTTGCTTTAAAAAGGGTACAACTTTTTCATTTAAAATACATTCTTTAAACAACTAATAAATTCTTTAAAGGAAGATTCTTGCATGCTGTCACTACAAGCATCCAAATAAAGAAGATTCATACAAAAAACAGTCTTCCAAGTAAATTTAAGTTTAATAATAAATAAGGAGAGAGTTCTGTAGAAAATAAAATAAAAAGTGTACACACATTGCTGAGGAGCAACATGAGGATTCTGTTCACGCTCTGCTCTACGGTCAGGCATTGGCTGAAAGCAGCAGGTGCATATTACATGACTTCCTTGAGCAGGACACACGTATTCCTGAACAGCTGGACGAGTTAAAAAGGAAAAAAAAAAAAGATTGAACAATTTACAAATTGCAGTTTGGATGAGGAATCTTAATGAATATTAACAATATAAAAATCTTGAAGTAACAAGCAACCTTTTTACAAAAACTCTATGAAGCAGCAGAAAAAAAGCATTCAGACTTCTGGACTGCACAGCTGTGTAAAATATTTCAGTATGCAGAAAAGGTTAAGAACTTTTCAACCATCTCATCAACCATCAGCAACCCATTTTGGACAACCACAGCCAAATGCTGTATTTGTAAAGACATTGGTGTGGAGTTGCTCTCACAGTCCTGTGAGAGGGACTTTGCTTAGGTCTAACTTAGTTCATAGCTGTAGCACAGCTCATTGCTTAGCTCAGGGGAGGTGGAGATGATATTCAAGGGTCCCTTCCAACCCCAGCATTCTGTGATTCTGCCCTGAGTGTCTGAGTTGCAGTATTTTATGCTGCACTGCTGGGGCAATGTGACACTGACCTGCAGGGAAGTTGGCAGAGGTTGATGGAGCATCTCCCAGAGCCTGCATTCCTCCTGCCTCTGTCTCCTGGCCTGTGCCAGGCACAGTTGGAACAGAGTGTCTTCGGTACCCTGGGCACTGTCTGCATACTATATATGGCTGACTGAAAGAACAATATGAAATTATACCAAACAAATGCAAATACAACTTAGGTCACAAGATTGGTCAGACTCTCGAAGTTTAACTTTAGGATTTCCTCATTCAGTAACAGATGAAAGCTTACATAACTCAGTACCTAGCTCTGCTGTAGCTGTGACAGATAAAAACTTTGGGTTTTGTAGTATTCCTCAAGAAATTTTAAACAAAAGGTAAAGGAAAAAAAGAGCAATGTGACTGAGAGAGGAACAAAGTTGGAATAGTTATCTACAAGAATTCTTCTGTTCCTCTGTAGACATTCAGCAAAAAATGTTTGCTGTTGAAAAAAAAGAGGAGGTATTTTGGTTCTTGGGAATTCCTTGAGTCAAGCATCAGCTGCTTTGGTACCATAGACCAAGTGAAAGCAGCCACATAAGAAAGCACAATAATTACAAACACATTCACAGGATCATGGAACTACTTTATCTCCTCATAAGATCTTAACCAGAAATCTGTCTTTTTTTATTGCACAATTCAACATAGAACTGTTGGTCAAAAACTGAATTTTGCTGGATTTCTTGGAAGTTGTAATTTCTGGTGATTGCTCAAGGTTCAGAAGGATGGCCAGCAAAACTGTCAAGAGTGAACTTAATCTGCAAACAGATTCTGGCAATGACCATGGAAATACTATCAGCAATAACAGCATTTGTAAAACTAGCTCAGTTTGTGGTTCTGTGCATTTACACATAGGCACACAACTTAAAAACAGACATACCTGATGTCTGAGGATTCACTATCTACATCAGACAATTCCAGTAAATCTTCAGAGCTTCCCTCCTCATCTGAGAACGATCTCCGCACCTTGGGCTGCAACATGTCTTGAGTAATTTTGTTTCTGGCATCCATGCTCCGAACATCCTCTTCATTGCGACATTTATCTGGCAGGAGAACCAAATTCAAACTTCAAGAGAAAACAACACCTCACATCCCTTATCTGCACTCTACTTTCTTCATACAGTTACCATTACTGTATTTTCATTTCCATAAGACTTGGTTTTGGATGAGAGAGTTCTAGATCATCTTAGTTAAATTCCTTCTCTGTTAAGGAAGTCCAGTATCAGGCAACTGAAATTTTGTTTCCAAGAGGCCATATTCAAAGTTCATTAAATCTACATTCAAGTATGTTTTTCAAAAGTATCCTTCTCATGATGAAGTAACAAATTAAAATGAAGCATTCTTAGCGCACTCACATTATTAAATCACCTTCCACAGGTTATTATGTCATGTCAGATGCACTTGTTTTCTGACAAACTATGTCAGAAAAAATAGCAGGGTAAAAAAAACACACAGGTTTTTTATAGACAACAGTATGTCCTGACACCAGTTATGCAGCTCATGTGTGACATCCATTGGATTCAGCCACAGACACTGTTCAACTTGCCTGGATGCTGAATCAGATAAGCTTCAACCAAGTTGTTCAATATGTGATTTTTACAAATACGTTCTACTGGACAACGACAAGTTGGACACAAAGAAGATCTTTCCATCCATCCTGAGTAGCAGGCAGCACAAAAAGTATGCATACAAGGCTGCAAGCTGGAAAACAAAAACTGAGTCAAAATACAAATATTTCATTTTTTTCAGATACATCCATAACCCTGAAAAAACTATTTAGCATTGATTTAACTATCTACATAGCATAGGAAAAGGAAAATCAAGAGGGCTTGTGAAAATGCTGATTATCCTGACCTCCTCAAACAGCTGTCACTGAATGCCTTGCATTATTACCACATGATTAAAGCTTTTGTCACTCTTACATACCTTACACAGTCATGCAGCAGTTCTTGGCAGATAATGCACGTTAACGTCTCTTCCATCTTATCTGGTTTCACATTTGATGTTTTTGCATCTTCAGAGCCAATTTTAATTATACATTCACTTGGAGCTGCTGGTGAAAGATTTGGACAAGTATCTTCATCTACAAAGACAGAAGGAGATAGTTTTTAAAGCTTTTTTTAACTTATTTTTATTCAAGTATTAAAAAAAAATCCCTGAAAGATCTGCACTGATTGACTGTTTGCTGGCAACAGTCCCAAAAGAGGTTCTTGCTTTACACACTACAGCTTCTGATACTGAAGATATTTTCATGGGACCAGAAATCAAGTAAGTGAGACACAAGAAACAAGCCGAAGGACTGATGACAGCTGTGGTAATTCAGTTTGGAGGGGTGGGGCTGAGGGTTAAGTTGCAGAATACTGTAGTATACTAGCCTCCTTTTAGTTTCTTCTTAGCAGGTTCCAAACCTTCCTCCTCCCCTGCTCTTTGAGAAGCTGAATCTGCATTTTCTTTGTCAGTGATTTCTGGAGCAATTGCAGAAGCTTCAGCATTCACATCCAGCTTTTCATGCTTGTCGTGCAGTGCTCTTACACACATGGATTCTGAGATGGGGAAAGCAGGCACAGGAGTGACAACTGAGGACTGTGATCCTATAAAACAATGAATGAAGAAATATTAATATGGCTGCACACAGCTATGGGATGTGTGAAAACAAAAGGTACTCAAACTGATGCGGCACATGCATCAATTCAAACATCTGAATAGGAAAAAGTGGAGCAGAAAAGCAAAGACTGCATAACTTGCTAAACACACTCTGAACCAATCTGCTAATTGGAAAACCTGGGGGAAAAACAACCTATTAGTTGTGTAACCCTATTTAAAATCCCCATTCCTATTTCAGTTGGGAAGTATTTATTCTTAAGACTATTATCCACACCAGGTCTTCCTGACAAGGATGCCAGGCCGGGGTTATGCAATACTGATCATACGTAACAGGTTGGGATCACAGCAAAGGGAAAGCTTTGTTTCCATAGGAGCCAGTGAGGTCCCACACAGGAATTCTCACAATTCCTTCACTCATCTATCAGGATTTACCCTGCCTGTCCATAGAGACAAAGTTTAAATGCACATATCCACCTGATATTTTCACTAGAACTTTACAAGGCAAATTCTAGACCGAGATAGGGGTAAGAGAAGAATCTGTTAATTTTAAAACTTTAACTACTTGACCCAAGTCTCACCAGATGTAGATGGACTATCCTGCTGAACAGATGCAGACTCGACTGGAGAGGTAGGAGAAGCATTAAAGAGGTTTGATGTAGAAGTAGATGGCTGTGGTTCCTCATAGCAAGACTGAGTAGCTGACAGTGATGAGGTAATTTGGGTCTCATCATTACTTCTTCCTGTACTTGAGGTATCTTTGGTCACATGGCATTGGTTTTCTACATTAACTTCTACAGTTAGAAGGGGGGAAAGAAAAGATAAGTATCTTTGTGACAATCAACACATCATGGCTTCAAAATTCCAAGGAATCAAACTCTCTCAAGAGGGTTACATTAGTCACTGGAGCTTAGCTCCTCTCCATAAATCCTGAATTACTTCCTTACCTACTGGTTCTTGAGTTGCATCATGTTTTGTGTTTAAGGATTCATAAAGATAAGCAACATCTGAAAGAGATTTAAAAATATTAATCGTGCTCTTGAAACAAAAATTCACTTAATCCCACATAAACAACTTCTATTCACAAGTGGCTGCATCCCTAAAGTGTCTGACAATGGAAGAGGCAAATGAGGGGTCACCTCAATAGTACCATGTTAATACTCCTACTTAGGAGGCAATTAGGAGCAGCACAGCAAGATCTTTTCTTCCCAGGAAACCAGGCAGAGCAGCTTTTGTGTGACGTTTAACTTGTGCCAGCCATGGAACCAGAGGCTTAATCATTTCTTAAACCTAAAATCTGCTCTGCCAGAACAGACTGTATTTTTACTGATACTTGAATCAAAGTTCTTCGAAGAAGCTTATTATTTCTGAGCTCACTTCTCAATCTCTTCAATCAATATTACTTCATTTCTTTGTGAGATACATGAACTCTCAAAAATACAGATTGGGACATGCCATAAGTTTCAGCTAGAAACTAATTTATAATCTATTAATAAAACCAACTGGATAATATCCTTTTCTTTTCAATCTTGCTTGAATTTAATATTGTTCCAAAAAACCTTGTTACATTTTTGTCACCACCAACCACCTACAAGCAAATAAGACTGTCTTAGTTTGCAGCAATCCTTTTGCTGATCAGAAGTTAAAATTTTGTCTCCTTCAGTAGGACTTAGAATGGCCAAACAGGCATGCCCTAAGTTTTTCCTCTGTGTATGAAGATGGAAAAGCTGAAAAAAGCAAAACTGGAGGCTTGGTAATTTAACTACTTATTAACCCAAATGGAAATCAGTGATTCAGTTCATTGCCTGGAAAATTCACCAAAGTGATTCATCTAAGTAGCATCAAGTGCAATAGTGCCAGCTCAGAGCAGATTTGTGAGATAAACTCCACAGACAGAAAAATACAGCTTATCACTGCTTCATGTAACATTTACAGCACATAGCATAAATCTGTCTGTCTGTCAATTAATTATCAGCAATTTCATGAAGGAAGTATTTGAACAGTGAGGATGTATCTGGAATTTTAAAATTCACAGTTTATATATTTATTACTGTATGAAAACTGTAAATATAGCATTGTTCCAGGTTTACCAATTCTACTTTCACTGTAGGGCTTTCCCCATCTCCTCCCCATTTTGCCTCTTCCTCTTCAAAACAAAAAAAGCCAACATACATACACAAAAAACCTACACACACAAAACAAAAAGCTTTTGCAGCCTTTCCTGCTGGTGCTAAAAACTGCTTCACTGGGATATATAAAGTATCACTAACTACCCCAGCAATTTGACTTCTAAAAGAAGCACTGGACATGTGATTAGAACCTCATTACTTACCATTCCATGCATTAGTTCTACCAAAATTACTTCGAGGCACATTTAAATTTCAGACAGTTGCTCAGATTTGTCTCTGTAAAAACTGGCACATCCATGACCTCTTCTCCAGAGACTTGTTTTTATACAGATTTCTCTTTAAAGCAGAACTACTCAATTTTATTATACTGATATTTCTTTTCCCTCATGACTCAAAAGAAAATGACTAAGCACACCATTTAAAAAGTATTATTCACTTACTGTTCTCTGGCTCATTTTTTCTGTAAACAACATAGATCACATCCCCAGTCTGTAATGGGTATGTCTGCTTCTTAACCACTTTCAGTTTATTAATTACTGTTCCATTAGTACTGTAAAGAGAAAAGATAACTTAGCATAAATGTTTTCATAATTACACGGGAGAAGGAAGGGAAAACACAAGATACATTTAAAGAAGAAAAGCTACTGGCTGCCCCCTAAAAAAGTAAGTGGACTAAAAAATACTTTTTAAAAAAGGAAGTTTAACAACAAAAAATTTCTCCTAAAGACAGAAATGCAGAGCCACTGGAACTTCAAAACTCATTTGCACTACTGGTAAAGAGATGGCAGTTGACAGACAAAAGACCCCTGATATTTGGCTAATGTCTCCAAATAATGAGATGATTGTTTCTGTACAATAGTCTCCACCCTTTAAGTATAAAACCAAAAGGACAATACAAGTTCTATTCAAAAAGTTCCAGGCTGTGTTTTCCATTTAATACTGGAAATCTTTTAAGATGTTCTCCGACAAAGGAACTTCCCCTGTATGGTCAGGGATGTCATACAGTGGTAATTTTTGTGCTCCCTCCTCCTTCAAAAATGAAAAAAAATGAAAATTGTGAGGTTACTTGGACTGTTTGCAACTTGAAAGAGAGAAGTTAAGAAGGTGAAAAAAAGTGACCCATAATGAAAGATTAATTGGAATGAATTATTTTTATATTGATGAAAAATTTAATACTTGTAGAAGAAATTAAACTAGGGAAAATAAAAATGCAGAGCATTGCTGATTAATTTCTTTATCCCCTTAACTATGGGTGATGTTGCATACACAAGCCATTAATGTTTTATAATAAAGTCAAGTTATTCAAGCACTAAATAATTCCAGCTCCCTTGCAGTAAGCATCCTTCAGGGCTGCAGCCCTCTCGAATTTCACACTTCTGCCACTCAAAATCTCAGCAATTGGTACCAAATATGAATGAACAGAAAAGATCTGCTTTTCCTCCTCTGCAGAGCAGCTGCAAGAAATAACAGCAAAGCTGTGCTGCCACCTCCTGGAGGCACGGCCCATGCCCAGGGCATTGTGGACTGTCCCTCACTGCAGGGGAATTTTTTGGAAAGAAGCACTTCCCCCTTGTCTTTTCTAACACAAAAATATTAATTCAAAGCCCAAAAGGAAAACCAAGCCCTTTGGAAGCACTACAGCAAGTTGTGATCAAGGTATCAGTTCTTGGTCTTGCTGCTGCAGCTGCTTCCACAGTCTGAGTGGCTGAATCAACTAATCCAACATAAATGAGATGCTGCTTTAAACTTTCAAGAAATGAAAAAAAAAAAAATTGGGCCACATTGATGAAACTTCAAGCTGCTCCTACAACCAAGAAAACTACTCATAGTTCATCCTTTTCCCCTCAGGCATACAGGTGTTGGCTAGGCTGAAAGACATAAGCACTGAAGAACAGAGAAATCACTAAATGATTGCCAAAGGTTAGCAATTAATAGGAAAATAGAATTTTAGTCCCTCTGATTTTTTACTTCATACTGATGGTAGTGATAACATTTAAAAATATTATGTTGAAGCAAAAATCGTATCTCCTTCAATTGCCAAATAAATAGTTGACACCAATCTCTGAACCTTGTCAGAAGTCCTTTAACAAAACTAAGAAACATCAAATTTGACCTCCTCAGTTTTCCAGAAGGCATCTCCCATCTGCCCCAAATGTTCTAGACCTTCTTTTATAATAAATCAGCTAAATTCAAGTAACAAGACTTGTCTTGTACTGAATTTTAACTTCTACAGACAATTCCTAGCCCAAACTTTTCACTAAACATAGGGGGGGAAATGTCACAATAATGTATTTTGTGAAGTAACTCTGTCATGACTGCCAAGTTCCAAGATTATTCTGGGGGACAATAACACAAGGTATTTTAGGGGAAAGGAAAAAACCCAAAATATCACACATCTAATAACCCACTCAGGCTTGGTTCCACAAAGCAAGATGCAGAAATAGCTATGCAAGACCCTATCCATCAAATTGACCACAGACAGCCAAATCTTTTCAGCTCTGTAGTTACACAGACTTCAGTGAGAGCTGACTAATGAATTATTTGGCACACATGGACTCAAATGAAATAGGAATAAATGGATATCACTTGACACTGAAAATCATAAGCTTTTCTTCGATGCATCAGTAAATGAAAGCAGTTGTATTTATCCCTCAGCCAACAACCAAAGGGAAAAAAATATTCAGCTATCCCAGATAATTGTATCAGCCTTTCACTTCCAATTCCAGCCTTTAGCATGAGGATTTTAACAGATATGGTGACATTCCAGATTAATGTTGTGGGTAGACACACATGACAAATTATGACATTTATACATTCTTCTATGTTTCAAATTAAGCTCCCTATAAAATAAGTAGAAAGTACAATGAGAAGCCCAAATATGAAGGCCATTCATTAAGACTAGATATTGAATTGATGCCAACTGGCTGTACCATTTTTCAAGTGCAGAAGAAAAACAGTACTATCAGATATAAAATGTGTTGTGAAACTATGTCACAAAATGTTCCAATGTCACTTTTTTAATCAGTGTAAGAAAAAAGTCAGGCCTTGACTCAATTCCAATGTGGTTGATGACTCTACAGTTTCATTAATGAACCATAAATTCTGTTTTCTTCCCAATCCCATCTGCTGTGCAGAACTGATATTAACAGCTTCACTCAGAACAGGGCTACTTTTGAAGTAGATGAATGATCCATGTGTTGTAAGAAACTTTCATATCCTTCCAAGAAAAATGCCAATCTAATAATTTCTAATATTTAGTTGCATCCATCCAGGAAAATAACGTAGTTTATGTTAAAGCTTCTGAGTTAACAGTTATCTGATATTGAAGTGCATATAATCCTGAACACACTGTAAAATAAAATGAGTTTTGAATTCTATTAAGGTACAGAATCCCTTCTGTACTGTAATTCTCCACTCTCTCAATGTTCATAGACATAGTTTTGACTGGAGGGTGAGGAGAATTCAATAGCAGAAGGGACACCAGCACCAACTGCAGATCAACCTCTGATTTACCCACAGAAAGGGAGTATCTGCTTGCCTGTCATATGAGTATCAGCCTTGTCTAAATTGTTCCTGATCAGAAACATCCCCTACTACTTAGAACCTTAAAAGGAAAAAGTCTACAAAATAACAAGAAATTACACTAGTTGCCTTTAAAATTTCTTTTTCAAAATGGAGAATCTTACAACTGCTTTTACTGGGAGAAATCCAACTGCTGCCTCCACTGTGTTAGGTCAGCTTGTACAATTTGTTTTCTTCCAAGCAGTATAAAGCAACTACTGCATGGTTTGGAAAATAAAGCAGAAACATATCCCAAAAGAGGGCAAGTCTGAGTAATTTATTTTACTATTTGCTAACTCTTGGCTTTTGTTACTTCCAAACTTTTATTTACTCAATAATTTTGAATGCTCCAAACATTTTCTTTCACTTGCAAATTTTGGGTAATTCTTTTAAGTACATTCAAGAACTCATTATGCTATCAGAAGACAAAATGTTGGCTGTCTGCATGTATTTGATTATATTCTTTGGATTAGACACAACAGAGAAACAAAGTCCACTCAGTTTGACTGTCCCACACTCACTCCCTCCTTCAATGCATTCCTCTTCACCAGAAAAATCTGAGCTTGACCACAGCAATGTTTCCAAATTATTTTCCACTTCAGAGAAGAAAAAGCTGACCTTGCAGTATTTTTCTGTGACTCTGAGCATCTGTACTGCCAACTCAAACATTCAAGAGACATCTTCTTTCAGCCTGATTTTTTTGGGACTCATCTGCTATTTGGCACAAACATTGGAAGACCCAGAAGAACCAGAAGGGTTTTCTGCAAGCAGTCATATCAAACCTGTTTGGTTTCTTGATTCAGCAGTTGGCAGCCACACTTCAACTCACAAGAGGAAGAGGAATCCAGGGATTTACTCTTTGTTAGATACACAGAAGTGTAACAGGCACAAGCAGCTCCCTGGCAATGCTCCACGGTGCAGCCTTTCTGTTACACTACCTTGTTACAAGCCTCACCTTTTCATGAATATACCCTACACAAAATTAACTTTAATTTGGCTTTGCTAGTTTTCAGCTGGCTGCACCTTCTGCCTCAGGGGGTGGGTAAGGGGAAAAAATAGGCAGGAATGTTTCTGCATCATGCACAATTTATTTAGCTTGTTCTGTCATAACATGGGTTTAAACCAATTCTGCCAGGGACAGTTTGTCAGGTGAGATTTATAGCTACACACTGAGGCTGCCATGACAGGCAAACATGGTTTGGTTTGTTGTTTGGAACACCCTGAAATTTAGGGTTATACTGGAGAATGACAACTATAAACCCTTCCCAGACATCCCAGCAAATCTTTTTTCCCCAAAAATTTAGCATTCTGTCCCACAGCTTCTGGGAGTATAAACCCTGCAGGAATCTATCCTGGATCTATCTCTAATGACAACCTTGAAGAGGAGAGGAAATACACCCTTATCAGGTTTGCAGATGACAATAAAGCAGGGCCAGAGCTGCCATGAGGGGCACTTTGGCAGGGCAGCAGAATGTGCCCATGATGTACAAAGATAAAGAGGAAAGTTTCACATTTGAGATTGTGAAGGATATCATGTTCAATCCCTGTTTCAACCCTGAAGGCAATTAAATATGTTATTATGGTAGCTCAGGGTTAGTATTACCTGCTGAGCTTTTGGCAAAAGTCCCTCCAAGAACATTCTGAGAAACCAACCTTGTATCTTCCAATGACACTTGACCAGACTCTTCATCCACTATGATTTTACAGTGATCTCCAGACACCAACTTGTTGCCAGGGAAAGATAAGTCACAGCCTTAAAAAGAAAGATTTTCCAGCAAGCTTAAAAATACACATTACACAGTCAGATCAGCATTCTACATGGCTATAAATGCAACATAAACTGACTCATGTACATCTGCAATAGTTCAAAACTCCTGCTGTCACACAGGCAGCAACACAGCCTAGTGTGAGACACAAACACAAGTGGTGAGATATAACCATGTGCTGATATAACCATTTCAACCATGTGAAGATGTTTCAGTTCCCTTTTCCCCCCAGTCCTAGCCCTCAAAGATGGAAATCAAATCACAATTACTCTGTTCTAGAGTGCTACAGAAATATCCACACATGTCTGAGGTGCTCAGTTTAACTCCTAAAGGCACACATGTCACAGCGCTCAGCTCTTTTTCCACTTCATTGTAATGCTGTTTAATTGGATTTAACTTGTTTTATTCTGGTGTATTGGGGGGAAGTACTAAGAACAAATAACTGATTAAAAAAAATACGTAAAAATTATTATCACTGTTCCATCTTACAATCTTTTGTTTGTTTTCAAACAGGAAAGTTTTCCTCATCTCTGTTGACAACATTATTATGTTAACAAAGCTGAAGAGAATTACAATTCAGGACTAAGATTTAGGGAGACACAGGAGAAGTGCCATGATGATGTGATAAAAACTTCCTACCTACAACTCAAGGGCTCTGAGAAAATCTTGTCTTTTTACCTCATTTTAACATTGAGTATTCAAAGCAACACTCAAGGCTCTCCACTGATCTCTCACAAAGGACTCAAAGCACTAAAAGCTTACACCAAAGCTATAATTAACAACCACCATTCCCCTCCACCTATTCACACTATGAGTGAACTGATCTCAACAACACATCCAGCAGGAAAGCAGCAAGCACTACCTAATATTGCTTATAAAGTCACAATTTGGTATTCTAGTAACCATCCATTTAACTAATTCATTAGCAAACAGCTATGGAAAGCTGTTTGCAACTGAAGAAGGAAGAATTCACCTTTTTTTCTGCCAGACAACTCTCAAACAGACATCAACTTGAAGAATTTACCCACAGCTTAATGATAAGCAATCTCAATAGATATCACCAACTGTAAATTTGCAAAACATTTTTCCTATAAGACACTGTCTGCCTTTCCCATAGAGCTATAGCATCTGGTGTTTGCTCACAACTATTTACAGGAAGTGACTGATCAGCCGAACAGCTTGAACTGATGAACAGGAAAAAGAAAATTAGCACTGTAAAGGCAGCATAAAAGAAAGTTAAAGCACTTCAGTCCTTGTTTCAAACACAGTGACCATGAAATCCTTTAAAATAAAGGCAAGTAGTACAAGTCCTAGACTCTGGGAGTAAAGCTTTCAAATCGACTCTCAGAGAAACTTTCAGAACTTGTTGGCAGTCTTTATAAGGCCAGAAGAATTAAGGGCTTTTATGTGGGTGTTTTCTTCTCTGTGAAGCCGAAGCATTTTGCATTGCAGTTCCAACTTATTTTAACCACAGAAACGAAACTAGAACGTAAACAAGACTGAAGCACAGAAACTTCTGAATCAACAATCGGGCTTCCTTATTTGCACAAACTGCCACAGACTACCTAAAAAGGCACTCTGACTTTAAAACGTGTCACAAGTTACTGAAAAATAAAAGGTCAGCATAAAACTACTTATTCACACAACTGAGGTAAATTGGGAATTCAGAGGGGGCTGGCAAGCACCAAACCCAACTAGTTTCAGTCCAGCTCCCAGCGCTGTAAAGGCCAGGAGGGGGATGGCTGCTGTCCCCGCACACCGCCCCAGGCCAGCGCTGCCCGTCCCTGTCCCACCTTTCCTCCGCCCGATGGTCCATTCTCTTTTCAGCAGCAGGACGTGCGGCTCTGCCTCATCTGCACCCAGCCGGATCAGCTTCCCCCAGGGCTGCGGCTGCTGCTGGCTCTGCTCGCCTCCTTCCGATTGCTCCATTTGGATTCACATCTGACAAAAACAAACAAAGCGAACCCAAACCCCATCACCACACGGCCCCTGGGGCGGCACAGCGCTCCCTGGCACCCC